GGGCCACATGAGGCGGACACGGAACGCGACTCCACGGGGGCCACGTGAGGAGGACACGGAACACGACTCCACGAAGCTGATCCAAGAGCCCCGGCCCTATGCTCAGGCCGCCGAGCCCGGGTGCCCGCTGGGGGGCCGCCCCCGCCCCCCGGGGCCTCCCGGAAAGGCCGCGCTACGTGTTTGCATGTTTTCCCCTAAGTCCCACTGAAACAACAGGAACTGAAGTCAAAAGGCAAAATCCACCCAAAAATAGAGTAAAAAAAAAACAAGCAAAAAATAAATAAAAACAAACAAGAAAATAAAAGTGACAATGGAGGAAACAGAAATAATAGAGGATCAGGAGAATGTTCACCCCTGATGTCGAGGTTCTAGGGGTGCTGCAGTCATAAGACAACAAGCAGGTGCCTTTGAAACAGAAAGGGGGGGCCCTCCCCGGGGGCGCAGCGGGTGAAAGCACTATAAGCCAGCCCCGGAGGGGACCCCCAGGGCCCGGCAGCCCCCTCCGGTCTCCCCGCGGCCCCCCCAGCGGTGGGTTTCGTCCATCTGCCTGTTCTGCTCCCCACTCTGTCTCTGGGGAGTCTTCTCGCCGCCCTGAACCCCAGTTCCGTGAGCATCCGTAAATCCATCTTTTAAAAAAATCCACAACAGCTTCCGCTCTCTGCAAACCCACAGAGACCCGAGTGTCTGGAGCGCCGCAGCCCGGGGTGGGAGGAGCAGGGACCTTCCCCTGCCAGGACTCGCGGCGCCTGGAAGCCTCTCGCCACCCCGCCCCTGAGGGGGGTCAGTCTGGTCAGGCTCAGGGCGCCCCTGGCCCCCCGTCAGCCTGACCGAGAGGCACTGCGGGACCCCACGGGCCCAGCCATGTGGCAAGAGACCAGCCTGGAGATGCCCATGCTGCGCCCCGCCTCGCCCGCTGCACCCCCAGGGCCCCACGGGGACCCCTGAGCCCAGAGAGCCTCCGCCCCTCGCCCCCCTCCCCACTGCTGGCTCTCCGGCCCGGCCGAAAGTAAGAACCGAGAAAGCGCCCGCTTGGGGCCCCGGCCTCCAGCCCGGCTCCCCAAACCCCAAGTCACCCTCATCCGCCCAACACAAGCGTGCCCTGCCGTGGCCGGTCCCAGGGCAGCGCTGTCAGGGGCCTGTGCGAACAGCTGCCCTGAACGCTGCCCCAGAACAACCTGCCCACAGCGTGGCCTGTGTGTGAGCGCCACGTCGGGGCCCCAGGGCCCCCAGGGCGCCCCGGCGTTCCGGGGGGGTCGTGACGCTGTCCAAGGAGCGTGATTCCGGGCTCCGCAGCAGGATGCGCGGCAGCGGACACCCCCAGTCTGCACAGGGGGACGCTGGGCCGCGGGGGGCGGGGGCTGGGACCCCAGCGGGGTCCACCCGACGGCAGTCCACGTCCCCCCACTCCGCGGCCCGCCAGGGACTCGGCTCGGACCGTGAGACGGGACCCTGAGGGCTTCAGACACCCCCTGCGGACGCTAGGTCTCGGGGGGCGCGGCGTGGACAGTCAGGAGGGCGGCCGCCGCCCCCACGGTCACCCCTCCCGCGGGCAGCGGCTCTGCCCAGGCACACGCCGGGCGCCACGCTGGACACGGGGCTGTGTCCACGCTGAGACTCCTCTCCACGCCGCGCGGCTCCTTCAGGGGTCCAGGAGTGCCCGGGGGAGCCGGGACCGGAGCCCAAATCTGAGGACACTTGGGGGTTCAGACGAATGTCAGGGTGAGGGACGCACACGTGGGCACGCAGAGGGCATCACGTGTGCCCACGCGGCGCGCACAGAGCGTCAGTCTGCCAGGCGCCCACGGGTCAGCGGCCCCCAGCGACCAGCACACCGGGGGTCACTGCCAGGGGCCCAGGAAATCCCAGCAGCCCCTCAGGAGCCCGGTTTCCACCCCGTGCACCCACAAACCATCCTGCAGAAAAGCAGTGGGGTGCGGAGAGCCGAACGCACAGTCAGAGCGGCCTGGAAAGACCGTTTCGGGGCGCAGGACGGGAAGGTCGGGGTGGCCCCGAGGGCGTCTGCCCGGCCTGGGCAGTGAGAACGCCTGTCCCCGGGGGGGCTGAGCGAGTGGGCCCCCGGCCTGCAGTCTGGCTCCAGGACGGGCAGACTCGGACGGAGGGACCCCACGCTGGGGGCGGCCCCCCGGCCCCCGCCAGCGCCGCTCGGGACGCCGGCCGCCGTCCCGGCGGCGAGGAGGCCAGTCAGAGGCCCGGAGAGAGCCAGCAAGGGCGCAGCACCAGGCCAGGCCCTGAGGGCCTGCGGGCCTTTCCCGGAGCCGGCCACGGAAACGTCCACGCAGCCACGGGGCGGCCGGGAGTGGGCCGCGCAGAGTTCGAGCGGCCAGGCCACTCGCGCCTGGCTCCCTGGACCGTCGGCCCGAGGAGGGCGGCAGACACCGTCGGGGCTGAGCACAGGGCCGGGTCCCCCTCGCCCACACGTCCAGCAGAGCAAGGGGCGGCCACCGCGGTCGGGGCGGCCAGCCAGGCCGCCCGGAGAAAGCAGAGCCGCTGAGACCCAGAGCAGTGTGGCCAGAGGCTCATCAATAACAGGGCACGGGCTGGCCAGCGTGGTCATGACGGAGGCGGCCAGCCCCACGGTCAGCACCCGCAGCCGGAGCCCCGGGACAGGCGGCCGCGTCCCCTCACCACAGGCAGGGGAAACCGGCCACCCCGCGCCATGTTCTCACCGGGCGGCTACTCTGCACCCCGTCCCCGCTCGGGGGGCAGACGCCCCAAGCTCTGGCCTGGGGCCGGCGCGAACCAGACCCGCCCGCGGAGTCCAGGGTGGACACGGCCCAGGGAGGGCTCGGGGGGCTTCTCGCTGCCCGCAGCTCTTGGTGGCTGTGTCCTGTGGCCGCTGCGTGCAGTCGGGGTCTCTTGTAAAGCTGCATGCTTTATTCGGGGTTTGTTTGATTTTTGCACGCAGGCCTTCAACTGCTTGGGTGCGGCCCACCCGCCCCAGGGCCATCTGCTGCTCGGGCGCCGGAGAGAGACAGCCCCGGCCAGAGACGCCCACGCAGCGCAGGGTGGACAGGGGACCTCTGAGCCTGCGCCCCGAGACGGGGTTTCCGTGGGGCCGCGATTCTGCGCCCGAGGACCCCGCTCGTGGGAGAGGCGCCCCCCAGCCCAGAAAGGAGGAGTGGCCAAAAACATGCAGTTTTACAAGAGACCCCGACTCCACGCAGCGGCCACAGGACACAGCCACCAAGAGCTGCGGGCAGCGAGAAGCCCCCCGAGCCCTCCCTGGGCCGTGTCCACCCTGGGCTCCGCGGGTGGGTCTGGTTCGCGCCGGCCCCAGGCCAGAGCTTGGGGTGTCTGCCCCCCGAGCGGGGACGGGGTGCAGAGTAGCCGTCAGTGAGAACGTGGCCGCAGAGGACACGGCGGCGCCCAGGGGCCTGTCAGCACTGAGACTCGAGGCGGGAGGGTTAAGGACCCCATAAGCGGCCCCTGCCTCCCCACCCCCCGGGGCCCCCGAGCACATTTGCAGGGGGCGGTGTCGGCCCGGCCGCTCGGCTTCTGACAGCAGTGACACCTGACTCGGGTGCTAGGTGCTAGCAGAGAGCAGGCGGACGTGGTCCTCAGCCCCCCAGGCCACCCCGTTTCCTTGCAGGGTCGCGTCTGCACTGGGCTAGAGCAAAACCGCCTCCTAGCATGCCTGAGCGCGGCGAGACACAGGTGGGGTGAAAGTGTCCAGTCGCTGGAGCTGAGCACCGTGTCGGCGGGGTGCAAAGGAAACGTGCCGTCAGGCCTCCTGGGGCGCAGCGGGCTGGGGTGCAGCACCGCAAGCCGGCCACAGCCACCTCAGCACGAGTTCGATCCCTGCCCCAGAGGGGCCCCCAGTGTGCAGCTGACCCCTCCTGCCTCCCCGCTGCTCCCCTCGGCCGTGTGCTTCGGCCATCTGCCTGTTCTGCGCCCCACTGTGTCTCTGGGGGATCCTCTCACCCCCACACCTCTGGCCTGTACCCCAGTTCCGTGTGCATCCATAAATACATTTAAAAAAAAACCACATGTCGGGGGACTCCAGCAGGAGTGACCTCGTGAGGACAGGCATTCATGGACATGTGTCTTCGTTTAGGAAACGCATTTAAAATGAGTGGTTGCCCCACCCAAAAATGGGCAGGAGAGCTACAAAGACGCTTCTCCAAGGAGGAAATGCAGATGGCCGACAAGCATGTGAAAAGCGTTCAGCATCACTCCCAAAGAGGGAGATGCAAATTAAAGCCACAACGAGATACCACCTCACCCCAGTGAGAAGGGCACATCTCCAAACAACTAGCAACAACACATGTTGGCGAGGATGTGGAGAAAAGGAACTCTCCTGCATTGCTGGTGGGAATGCAAACTGGT